AATCCTCCTGCCTCAGCCTCCAGAGTGCTGGGATTATAGGCATGTGCCACCATGCCTGGCTTCCCCCAGATGGTTTTTGGACTAGAATTCTCTATCAGTTCTTCCAGGTCTCCAGCCTGCTAGCTCATGCCTAAGATTTAGCCCTGTCAGTCTCCATAATCATGTAAGTTAATTTCTTATAATGGCCTTCTGTCTGTCTGTCTGTCTGTCTCTCTTGGTCTCTGTCTGTCTATTTCTCTCCGTCTCTGTCTCTTTCCTTCTTTCTGCATATGTATACCATTTGTCCTGTCTGTCTGGAAACTCCTGACAAATATACCTTTTAACAGTTGACGACACTTAACACTATGATTTCCATGTTCAAATTTGTGATGTAAGCCAGGCAAGGTGGCACATGCCTATAATCCCAGCTACTCAAGAGGTTGAGGCAGGACAGCAGGTTCAAAGCCAGTCTGAGCAACTTAGTGAGATCTTATCTCAAAATAAAAACATCTGGAGATATAGTTCAGGTGCTCCCTGGGTTCAATCCCCAGTACCCCCCACATACACACACGACGTGATTGGTTTATGCCTCCTCATTGGGCACTGACATCATCAGTGTGCTTGGTACAGAGGACAAATGTGAAGATAATTATGTAAAATACCTGTCCTCAGAAGTTGAAGACATGGATGGAGGGAAAGTTGTCGGCGCTTTTTCACAACAACGACAGAGATGTCTGTTTAGGTCCCAGAGAAGCAGAGAAGGGGGAGCATTTCCTTATGAGGCTTCGCAGGAGAGGTGTTCATAGGACAGATGAATTCAGAGCTGAACCCTGAAGGGAAAAGCAGAATTTTCCAGGTGCATGAAGGTGCAGAGCAGTATAAAACAGATGGAGGAGCTGGGCATGGTGGCACACGCCTATAATCCCAGCACTCGGGAGGCTGAGGCAGGAGGATCGTTGGGAATTCAAGACCAGCCTGGGCTACAAAGTAAGCTCAAGGCCAGCCTGAACTGCACACACACAAAAAGGCAGATGCAGGCCAGAGAGTCCATGCAGAGGTAAGAGGAGTGCGGTATACTTTAAGCAAGGTGCTCAGGAAGCAGGAAGAGAAGGCTGCAGAGAGGACAGCAAGCAACCCCAAAGAGCTGGTGAAGCACTGCATGGTTTGGATTCAGAGCTGCAGGCTAGAGATTTTCCAACGGCTTTGTACCAAGACATATATAACAGATAAAGTTCACATTCAAAACAGTTCCGTGCCTGTGCCAGCTATTTGCTGAAACAACCCTCTCATCTGGGGTGGGAACAAGGCATCTGTAATTAATACTTGCTGCACGCATAAACAAAATATTAGTCATGCCTGCGCATTACCATCTATGACATGGTTAAGATATGCTGTAGGTTACACAAAAATCCTTGTCTCTAAATCCAACTCTTCTTCTCTTCCATTAAAACAAACAAAATAAAACAAAACACCATACCAGAGCTGGGTACGGCTGCCCCCACCTGTAGTTCCCGCTATGTGGGAGGCTGAGGCAAGAGGATTGCTTGATCCCACGAGTTCAGGGCCAGCCCGGGCAGCATAGTGAGACACAGTCTCTTATAGGAAAGTAGTAAGAACACGTATCAGAACGCAGGGAAGTGGGGAGATAGATGGCAGCCTGAGCATGAGGTCCTCTGTACCTCTCCTGACTCCCTGTTGGGACAGCCATTTAAATAAGTGGCAAACTACTGGGGGCCAGGGGAGATCTCAGGGACATCTAAGACCTTGCATGGTTGGGAAGGAGGTGCAAGCTGTCAGTATTTGCCTACACTGGGCGTGGTGGCGCACGCCTGTAATTCCAGCACT